CTGGTCTCAAACTCCTGACCTCTTGATCTGCCCACCTCGGCCTCCCAAAGTGTTGGGATTACAGGTGTGAGCCACTGCACCTGGCCCCCTTTAATTTCTTTGGGAAACATTTTGCTGGCCTGTTTTCTGGTGGTGACAATAATAATGATACACTAGAAATATTTATTTCTATAATCTGAACACTGTATGGATAGAATATCTATCTTCTGCTTCCTTTCTTTCTGTCTTAAAGATAGCATTACTTTGGGTTCCTTAGCAATAAGTATATGATCAGGATAGAAACTTCATTTACCGCATGTGTATTTCAGTGTTGAACTCACCAATGGACATTTGATGACATGATCCCAAAATTACATAAATTACCGAAGAACAGAAAGCTGCATAAGCGATGTTGAGAGGAGGAATCAGTTGCCTTGCCAGCAAACTAAGTGTCAGGCCTGAAAAGCAAGATAATTTAAGAAAAAGTAGCTTGGATTTAAAAGTCACCTTAAATAAAAACTGTAAAGAACATTTAAAATAAAAATGATCCATGTGTATAGCTGTCCGAGTGTGGTAATTGCATTTCTAAACATAGAGTCCTTCACTAGTACTTTTTATTGTCTTTGATTCCTAGCTTATCTTCCTATTTTGCCACATGCTTTTACATTTCAATTCAATATCATAGGCTCAAGCATCTTTCACTGCAGGGTCTTAATGTTAAACATGTGAAGCAAATACCAGAGCAATAAGACCGCTAATTCCAAGAGATCAAAAGCAGCACCATCCTTATTCCTAGTCTAGCACAAGAAGGCCCTGGGAATTCTCCAGGGCTGAAGATAAAACTGGAGAGCAAGGCAAGAATCACACTTCACTGACTTGAAGTTGGTTTGTGTTGGTTCTCTTCTATAGCCCAATCACTCCAGCCTCTTCCTTCAGCTCCTTCTTTAGTACTTACTTTCTTTTCTAAGAAGCACCATGTGAATTTGGAAATTTCGAAGCGAATGGACTCACAGGCATAGTGTCATCCTTTTGATGTTTCAAGCCCATACTTCCTTCCCTAAGGGTCTGTCCTCAATTTACATCATACCAATATGCTCATCTAAATTCAGTTATGAATTTAGTGAGCCGATTTATTGTCTTAGATAAGCAAGGCTGCTTTTTGTAAGACATTTCAAGCATATACAAAAATAGACTATAATGAATTCCATATATATCCATCATCCACTTCAACAATGGTCAACCCATAACCAATCCATGTCTCCACTCCTCTCCCACCCTATATTACTTCGAAGGAAATCCAAGGCATTTGATTATTTAATCTGTGGATATTTTGCTATGTGTCTCTAAATGATAATACTCTTCTAATTTAACTGTGATAGCATCATTATCCACTCAGCGTTCAAATTTCCCTGATTATCTCACAAACGATTGTTGTTGTAGAGGGTCTCTAAGATGATCCACAATGGCCAATTGGTGTTCTTGCCCTTGTACAACTTCCTCCCCCTTAAGTGTGGAACCAACTTACTAACTTGTTTCTTTCTTTTTTTTTTTTTTCTTCATATGAGCTGTGGCTTTGTTGTATCCTAACTTGTTTCTAAGTAGTAGACTATAACAAAAATGATTGGATTACACTTCTGAGATTTGGTTGCAAAAAAACTTTGGTTTCCATCTTGGTTTTTCTCTCATTCAGGTCACTACCTACCTGAAGTCAGGTCACTAAGTTCAAAGGTTTTGTAATCTATATAGTCAAGACAGAGTCCTGGGCTTAGAAGGACTCTGCCCTTGGTTTAATGCTTTGCTGTCGCTGTCTTGAAATTCTGAATAATTTTTGAACTAAGGGCCCTGTGTTTTTATTTTGTATTGGGCCCAACACATATAGTTGGTCCTGCCAGCTGCCAGGTTATGAATACGGAGAAGCCAAAATGAGGAGGAACTCAGGCCTGCCAACAGCTACATGAGTGAGCCTGGAAGCAGATCCTCCAGCCTCAGCAGAGCTCTGAGATAAACTGCCATCTCACAAGAGACCTTGAACCAGAGGTATGGCGAGTTTTGTGGTGGTCTTTAAAAAATTATTTGCTGTTATATGTTGTGCTTTGTTTTACAATCTGTGTGTTTAAATTAGGACCCAAATATGGTCCTCATGTTGGTTAATATGTCTCTTAGGTCCCTTGTAATCTGCAGAACTTTTTCACCACATTTTTTTTTTTCTCTAGGCAAGGCTCTAGAGAAAGGCTCTCTCTAGAGAAAGGCTCTAGATTGCAAGAACGAGAAAACCTACTCAAATTACCTTAAGCAAAATAGGAAATTTATTTAAAAGGGTACAAAGGGCAGTTAGACCTTATCAAAGACTGGAACCAGAATTCAAAAGCCATCAGAATCCAAGGTTTCTACCTCCCCATTCTCTTTGTCTCCAGGGTTCATGGTATCCTGTCTTTGTTTCCAGTTTGGGGCTATTAGGAGCAATATTGCTATGAGTATTTTTGTTTGTTTGTTTGTTTGTTTT